ACTCTTCTCCACGGGGTTGCTTAAGGTTATTTTAAGTGTTCACGGGATAGCACAGAGCGCCCTGGGGGCTTAAGTGTACCGATGACTTAGCAACATCTCATCCATTCACGATTCATCTTAATGTTATCTCGACTTTTTCCATCTGCATGACAAGCCCATTGTAATCCTCCAAATATCACTACGCGACGCGTGTGCATCACAGAGTTCATTCTTATGTATCGTCATGAAGTGATCACGTACTGCCTTCTTCAGGACACTTTCCAAATGCCTGCAGTCGGTTGCGTCCATTGATGGAGATGCGATGGGATCGTTAGGAGGATGTTTTAAGAGACCGTCATCGTTAACTTACATCCTCCCGCGTTACTGCTACGTCATCATTATTGCACGGTCTTCTGAAATTCCTTCCGATGATGTCATTATTTCGTTCGGTTCCGTGACTATTACGACACCGGACGGCGCCCTTGCAAAACCAAAGTAGAAGAATCGAGTCGAATTTTATTGTTTTACGACGTTTCGACCAATATTTCATTTGCCATCTTCAGTGGGGGAAAATGTAGTCATTGATTTTATCACGAATGGCCGTCATCCAACGAAATAAGGGGAAGGGGTGAAAGTTACCGTTCCAGACAGGATTTGCATGCAGATGTTGGTCTTCTGTCCTGAAGATGGAGGCTGTATGTTCCTCCGAAACGCTAGAGTTACATCCCTCAAGACCAACGTCGACATCATCATTGTAACTTAGGTGGTTTCGCCTTCGGAGGATTCATTTCAAAGAGGGGGGTGGGGTGGGGGGTTACGGGTGTTTATTTGTGAGAAGTGAAAACAATGGAAATTTGTTTTACAATGAAATTCCTCCCGAGTGGAGCACGTAATTGGAGAAAAAGCCGGAATGTCGAGATTCGAACATCGGCCCAGAGGAGAGCAGGAAGGCTTTTCGGCACGTGCAGATGTGGCCTAACTGTGCTCCATCCAGCGAGGGTCCCCGAGTCAAACTTCACGGTGGCACCCCATTCCTACCATACGCGAGGGCTGTCGGCGCCGGAATGACATGTTATCACCACCACGCCAGTGGAGCACTCCGGGTGACGTCACCCGCTGACTGGAAGCCTTCTCGCTTTACGAAGAACTCGAGGAGAGACGACGATATGCCAAACGAAG